CAGATCATATGATTGTTTCTTATTTTACTATTTCACTATTATATTTATGTTATATGTTATTAGGCTTCTTCCATATTTTGTACCGTTTCATCCAGCTAGATATTGGGTTCATACACGTGCAGTATATCTTCCAATGGGATATTTGTATGCAAGAAGGCAAAGTGCCGAAGTTACACCACTAATTGAAAAATTAAGAGAGGAATTATATACACAATCTTATGATACTATATATTGGCCAAGTGCAAGAAACAATGTCTCAAATGCTGATCGATATGTTCCTGCTACAAAAACCTTGGCATTTTGTAATTGTAAGAGAATTAATTCATTAGTATAAAATGAAATTATGAAAATTTCAATATTCAATCTTTAATCTAATTGGTGGATGATGTATTGTTAGCTCTCTTGAATATTTATGAAAAACTACCAAATTTTTTTGGATTACGTGAAATATCCATCGAGGAAGCATACAGGTTAATTAAATGTGAAGATTTAAATACAGATTATCTAGATATTGCACCTGTGAGAAATCAATTATATACATATATTTTTTTTTTTAAACTTTAAAATTTAAAATTATTTCCACATTCATTTTTTTTTACCATGTGACACAAAGGTTAATAAAGTCATGCATATTCTCTGCACATATTATGAAGAAGGCCCAGAATCAGAAACATTTATGTTGGCAAAAGATAGATTGATTGATTATATGTGGTATTTAAGCAATTGTTTTTAAAATTATTATTATAATTACTATTATTATTATTAAACTTAGATTCTATAAATTATATAGGATGACTTCAGAAGGCATGTTGATGAATGGTACAAATGGAGTTCAAGTATGGGACACTGCATTTGCTGCTCAGGCAATCATTGATATAGGTATTAAAAATAATAGATTTTTTACTTTTTTATATAAAGGTACTACTACTAATATTACTAATTAAAAAATTTTTTTTTTAAAAAATAAAGGTTTAGCTGATGAAGTTTCAAATCATAAATCAATGATAAAAGCACTTGAATTTTTAGATGATGCACAAATTAAACGTGATCCAATTGATATGAAAGAATGTTATAGATTCCAAGCAAAGGGGGCATGGGGATTTAGTACTCGTGATCAAGGATACACAGTTTCTGATTGTTCATCTGAAGCTTTAAAATCAGTCATTTATCTTCAAAAACTTGGGTATATTATTTTTTTAAAAATATTGATAATCTATTTATTTATATTCAGTAACAAAATTTTCTAAAAAAACAATCAATTAATTATATTAATTATTAGTTATACACCAAAAATTGTTCCTAAAGAACGCCTTTATCAGACTGTTGATGTTTTACTAAACATGCAAAATAGTGATGGAGGATTTGCAAGTTATGAACCAATCAGAGGCTCTAAATTGTTGGAATGGATAAATCCTGCTGAAGTATTTGGAAATATAATGATAGAATATAGTTATCCTGAATGTACAACTGCTGTATTGACTGCATTAAATTTATTTAAAAAATATTATCCTGATTATCGATCACAAGAAATTGAGTAAGTTGTCATTTTATCAAATGTATGCATGTATATCACATGTAATATAAAGCTATAATAACATTTAATGATTAAATTGATTATATCTTCCATTAAACATAATTCAGAAAGGTTTCTCAGAAAGCAATTCAATATATTTATAATTCACAATATGAAGATGGTGGTTGGTTTGGCTCATGGGCAATATGCTTTACATATGCTACCATGTTTGCATTAGAAAGTTTGGCAAGTGCTGGTGAAAATTATGAAAATAGGTATTTTTAAAATATTAGTAAATTGACCTTTCTTAGTTTTTCAACAAAATTATTCAATTTTTTTTCCTTGACAATAGCATCCATGTGAAAAAAGGTTGCGATTTTTTAATTTCAAAGCAAAAAGATGACGGTGGATGGGGCGAATCTTATAAGGTTTTTGAAGTTTTACAGAAATAAAATGTTTATAAAAAGTTCATAAAATAAATATCATGCATCATTTATTTAAATAGTCCTGCGAACTTGGAGAATATGTCCAACACGAGCAATCACAAGTAGTTAATACTGCTTGGGCAGTGCTTGGGTTGATGAAAGGCAAATATCCTGATGAAGCTCCTATACGTCGTGGGGTTGAAGTAAGTTAAAGTGTTAACTTTTTATTTAAAATGGGGGTTTTTTTTGTTATCTCTAAAGAATTTCTATTTATATACTGTATGCAAATATACTTTTAGCTTATTATGTCACGACAACTAGAGACAGGTGAATGGAAACAAGAAGCAATAGAAGGAGTATTTAATAAAACTTGTGGTATTAGTTATCCAAATTATAAATTCATATTTACCATATGGGCTCTGGGAAAATATGCACGACTATACAATAATCCAATCATTCAAAAGTGAATATCATATTTATGTTCTTTAACTTTTAATATAGATCCATTTTCAAATTTAATATTTTTAATTTAATATTTATTAGTTATAAATAAATCAAACTTTTATTATTCTTCCTATAATATTAATCTATAAATTGTTCATTTACAAATGAGATTTATTTCCTGCACAACTTTTATACTATACTATAAATAGTTGTGATAAATGGATTTTTTTTAATATATATTGAATTAAAAATCCACTTTCGACAAAGGACAAGCGTTGAACAATTTGCGATTGCATTTATGTATGATTTCAACTGATTTACTCCATTATTCAATACTTCACATATAGGTGTCTGTTTCATTTTTTTTTAGCTTTTTGGACAATATACATACTGCCTTTATAGCAAAGATCTTCCTTTTCGAGTATCCTATCTAATTCTTCCAACTCATTTGCACCAAATTCCTTTATCTGACTTCCAGTAGTATCCCTCATCAGACCAATTAATGAAATATATTTTAGTTCTAAACTAATATCGTTTTATATTTCCCATTATCATAACGGCCTTTCCATTCTTCATAAAAATGGAGCTTGAAGAAATCTTGATTTCATTTTCTTTTTTGCGCCTGATGGCAGGACAATGAAATCTTGAAGAAAGCTGCCTTTCCTCGACAATTTAGGATAGAGTTAACGTCCAGAAACATTTTAATTAAAAGAATCCGAAACTTGACAAAAATCATGATATTATTTTATTTTTATTTAATTACTTGAAATCCTAAAAATAAAAATTTATATCGAATATGAATTCAAAATTTTGTAACTTTGGCTAGCATAAATATTTTAGAAAAATTAGTAGTTAAAATCACATTTATAAAAATCAAAATGATAAAAATTTTTTTTAATCTTAAAGTGTAAAAACGAAGAGGAAAAATTTTGGCCTTCATGAAGGTACCTAATTGGCATTCACGATTCCCAGATATTAATCCAATTGGAGTGAACTAGAGAGGCAAGCGAACACAATATCAAAAAAATGCCAACGAATTGGAAGCTTACAAAACTTACTACAAATTAATAGAAAGCATGCCTAGAAGGATTGAGGCATGCGTTTCTAGGCCATCTCGATATTAATATTAAATTTTATTTCGTTTTTTTTTATTTGTTCATATTTTTGAATACAAATATTTTGTTGAATTTCGAGTTTCGGATTTTTTTAATAAAACTTGTTCCTGATGATACTTCTACCATTATTATGCCAAAGCTATAAATGCCTGATTCTTTTGTATATTTCTTGCAAAGTAAAATTTCTGGTGTAAAATATGGCAAGACCCCATAAATCTTGGTGTCTGGACTAGTTTTATCTTTGTATGATTTTGTTAATCCAAAATCTGTCAGATAACTGATTATTTTCCCCCCATAGTTTGGTGAATGCTATAAAATATTTCCCACATGTAAACCTTTATGTACGAATCCTTTAGCATGTAATATGCCAAGATCTGTGGCTATATTTTCCAAGTAATTTAATTTTTCTGTCCATTTAAGTCTTTTAAAATTATTCTCCTCATCAGCATAATCATCAACTACCTTTATAATATTCTCATGGTCCAATAATTTCAAAATATCAATTTCATTTCTATATTTAATTATTCTATTTGTCAAATTTTCCATCACTGACATTGATAATTTTATCAGCATAAATGTTATTATCATAACAATTATTTGATCTAATTTTTTAACAATGCATGATTTGCCAATTTTCGTTATGGCTGTTACCATCATCTTCATTATTTACAACGTGATATCTTTCTCCTGATTAAGCAGGTAAACGATCCTTTACTTCTCTAAATCGATTTTGGCATTTTCAAAAAACTGTACTTTTGTATAAATATAATCAAATAAATAAAATATTAACCAAATATATAAACATAAACATATATATAAATTAATTGATTTATACTACTTGCCAATAAAACCCTCTCTAGTCTTGATTAAAATTTTATCATCATGATTTAAAACATGTTCTCGATTTGGTTCCAAGTGTCTATTATTAATGAGAGTTCTTTTGTTCCAACCATTTTTTATAATCGTTTCAAAGCCCAATTCCTCAATATAGTGCATATTGTTTGTTTTTCTCTAACAGATAATAATGATTATAATAATATTATTATAGAAATGATAATGATTAATTAAGTTATTGTTACTTACAATTGAAATTATACAATGTATACTTGAAATATACGTTGGATTTGTTAATTCTCAAATTGGATGCCTGGTTGCATCCAATATAGTTATGCGATTTTGAACTTCTGATAAAATAACTTTTTTGATTTAGATATACGACAGTTGAAATCGGTTTAGCTTCTATCTTAGCAAGTTCAGCTTTGAGTTTTAATATTTTTCTATGGCGTACATCAAGTGCAGGATCATAATTTCTTTTATAACTAGTGGGATTTGCTTCTTGTTGTTGTTGTTATCGTCTCATTTTATTAAAATCTTTTTGCAGATCGTGTAGATCATTCTCGACTACTTTTTTAAAAATGTATGACGACGATAATGTAGATGATGTTACTGGTTCGCCTTCTAAATTCGATGAGCAATTCGGTGAAGTGGTGGATGAAGAAAGAGATAAAATCCAAAGATTGAATATGAGACATCCTCATTCATCAACTGCTGTCAGAGATTATTTGAATAAGACTGTGGTTTCAAATTTGATTGCTGGAATGAAAAAATTGGTTATAGAAAAGTAGGAATTAAAAAAACCTTTTAACATTCTATTGCTTGTTAATCAATGTATTTATTAAACATCAATTTTGTTATCTATAATTCATAAAAATAATATTAATATTACGTATATGTATCACTCAAAAGACCACAAAATCCTTGTGAATTTCTAGGTAGATATTTGATTGAACATTGTGATCACAATCACGTTAAAGAGGAAAATTTTAAATCTGAAAAAAAAAATATTATCATACAAGAGAATAATAACAGTTTATCATCACATAATGAACATCAAAAATCTCAAAGTGAAAGTGATTCAAGCATGATGGACATTGTGAATAGAAGTGGTGGTGGTAGTGCTGCTGCTGGTGATGGTGGTGCTAGTGTTGGTGGTGCTGGTACAGATGGTGCTGGTGGTGTTGCTGCTGCTGATGTTACTGTTGCTGGTGGCGGTAGTAGTGGTGGTAATGGCAATGACAGCAGTGATAATGGTAATGAAGATAATAGTATCAGTGGTGGTGACAATAGTAATAAAGATACAGATGTTGACATTATGAATTTAAATTTTCTTACAAATTAAAAGAGAAGAAAATAAAGATTGATATTTATAAATGAATCTAATCATTTATAATGTCTTGGTAAAATTTATTTTATTTGGATGTTTTGTTATTTTTATTTCAAATTAAATGTTTCATGATGAATGATTGATGCGCGTATTTACTTATATTGATAATATTATGTATATAAATGAACGTCGATATTAATTGAAATATAGATGATTAAAAAAATTAGGAAGAATTAAGATTAACATAATAATAAACATAAACAATAAAATTAAGTTTAAATATAAGTTTAATACTTCATGTAAAACAACGCAATCATTTTTGTAATAATTCATAAACTTTACAAAATTAGTTTTCACCATTGATCTTCCTTTATTATTTTCCATTCAAAAATAACATTAAAGTTTTACTTGAGCTGAGCCCTCCCATGCAGCTCTAAAAAAAGAATAGTTATAGTCCGCTAAAATACAAACTGTTAAACGAAAAAACCAAAAAAAAGATTATTGACAAAAACACCGTGCTGATTTCAAAAAAGCAAGGATTTTCCTCAACAGGCTGTGAGTTTGAT